TTATTCTATGTACTCTGAGGCTCAGAGGGCCTTTTGAAATGAGCTAGAATTTTACAGAATTTTTTCTTGACTCATTAGCCAAATTTTATCGGATTGGAGATGCTTCATCTGAGCGATTGCCTAATAATTTCAATTTTTTTTCAAAATTTCTTTGCTTTCAGTTTACTGGACAGCAATGTCTTGGCGAAATTGGAGCACCCATCCAAAGTAGTCCACTCACTCTCTCCACATCCGAAAAAACAGCATTTGCTAACAGCAGCTGGTCAGCTTGTCTACCTTTGGGTGGCGAAAAATGATGAAGATTTCGAATGTTGAAGTATTCATTTATTGTCATTATTGTAATCTCTGTATGTTGTGACTGTTGTCTGATATAAATTGCGATTATGCTTATGAATTTCTTTTGTGAACGAATAAAGTGTTGTTGGCACGAAAATAGCCGATTTTGGAAAGCTGGAATATTTCCAACGCTTTTCAGCTTCTTCTTTTTCTGTGTTAGGAAGTTCATTTTGTACAGTCGAGAAGATTTTTCGCTTTATATAGTGTGTTTGCGGTGCCGAGAAAGTGCGATAAAACTTGCGCGTGAATAATCAATCAGTGCAGTTATGCCGGCATTTTGCGCGCGCAAGTGGCCGGCGTCACAGGTGCAGCTATTTGTTCACGCGTAAATTATACCGCATTTTCTCGGCACCGTAAGCACACTATATTGATTGGAAAATCTACTCGGCTGTATACAATTACTTTCGATTACCTGACTATTAGTTTTTCAGATTTTCTGGTGAAATGGCATTAGCCATAGGTATGGGAGGACGTGCACTTGAGTCTGTTTCGCGCATTGCGATCCGTGGAGCTGCGACAGCCGCGCCGCCTCCACCGAAAAAACCTCAGAAAACTTCGTTCGGAGGACTCAAGGACTCAGATCGTATCTTCAGCAACTTATATGGTCGTCGTGACTATCGTCTCAAAGGAGCTCTCGCTAGAGGTGATTGGTATAAGACCAAAGAGATTATTCTGAAAGGCTCGGAATGGATTATCAATGAAATTCGTAAATC